AAAAAATAATTAATTAATTAAAGAAATATTGAGATTCAAGGACATTAAAAAAGAAAAGGAGCCGTTGGGCCTCCTGCAAATAAGGTGGGGGAAATCTCCAGTGACGAACATTGTACACGTGACACCAATACGAGTTCCGACTCCTGGTGGCCCCACGGGAGACAGGGTGGCACTGGGTTCCAGAGGGTGCCGGGGGCTGGTTTTTCAGAAGCTGATCACCCGGCCTTGCTGCTGAGGTGCCTCTGGGCAGACTGGGAAGCTCCAGCCTTTCTGTTATCAGCCGGGAGCACTGACTGTGAGTCCTCTCCGCTCCTCCCAAATGTCATACGCATATCTGAACTCTGAGTGGCTTGTGCTGGTGGCTCGGTTGCTGCCGTCATTGTTCGGAGAACAGCCCCCCTCCTGCCCCCACCCCGGCGCTCTCTGGCCACTGAGAACCAGAGGTCTTCAGCAGAAGAGAGAGGTACTCACCCAAGTAGCCCGCTCTTGCTTCCTGAGTCAGTGGCTCATTCCCAACAAACGTGTTGTCCCGCAGGTCCGCCCTCAGGTCTAGAAAGCCCCCGGCCCAGTCTTTGGCTCCAACTGCCCCCACCACTCCGTGGCCCTGCCCAGAGGAAGGAAGTGGGGATCAGCCACGCTCCTGGCGTGGACGCTGGCTCACAGCCCTCTCCTCGCGGCTGCTCCCAGGCCTCCTGCTTCCGTCCGAGCGCTCACCCTGCTGAGGTCTGCGCTGATCCCGCTGGAGGACAGCTCCATGTTGAAGGACGTCAGGTCCTGTTTGTTGGTGCCTGGGGGGAAGCAGAGGAGCCTGGGGCTGAGACCCTGGGGCCATAAGAGAGGGGGACTAAAGAAGAGACAGAGGCAGGGATGAGAGGGGAGGGCAAGTTTTGGCTCCAGACAGACCTTAATTCTCAGTTCATGTTCCCAACAACTCCATGAATCCCTGAACACCACCTCGCGCAGCGGTTCTCAACCTGTGGGTCGCGACACCTTTGCAGGTGGAACAACCCTTTCACAGGGGTCGCCCGATTCATCACAGTAGCAAAATGATGGTGATGAAGTAGCAAGGAGAAGGATTTTTTTGGTTGGGGGTCACCACAACATGAGGAACTGTATGAAAGGGTCACGACATTAGGAAGGCTGAGAACCGCTGCCCTAGAGCATCCAGAGAGTAGGCTGGGGGATCTTTCTTAATGTGCCTCAGTTGGGGAAGCCTTTTCTTGACGATGCCATTCTTGCCCACGGCTGTTTAGATGAAACTCTAGCCTCCTAGTCACTCTGATCTACGGGTCAGCCACCAGTCATGTTTATCTGTGACGGTTTCCTTTGACCTCCCATGACCTTTTCAAAGCTCTGCCTCTCAGCCCACTCTTGGACATGGGGTCTGTGGACTAATGGTCTCATCATCTGGACGGCCTATTTCTAGGGTCCTCTTGTCCTTGTCCCATTTCCTAAAACCAAACTCACGGCCATCCTGACTCGTAGTGACCCTAGCCCCTATGGGCTTCCAGGACTGTAACTCTTTCCGGGAGCAGAGAGCCTCCTCTTTCTCCTGAGGAGAAGCTGGTGGTTTCGAACGGCTGACCGTATGGTTAGCAGCCTGACGTATAACCATTGTCCCATTTAAGACTTAATACACATTTCTAAAATAAAAATAAACAAGTCCAACCGTCTCTGTCCTTACTGTGTGCTCTCATCACACTGCTCTGTTGGATTTTATCCCTCCGACCACACGCTCCTGGTCTTTGTTTGCGCGCTCTTCTCTCGGTCTGTGCTCAGCACACTCACGACTTTTGCTTCCTCAGCTTCTTGTCTCAGCTCTGAAGTCACCTCCCAGAAGCCTTCTTTGAAAAGTCACCTTTGAGTGGCCTCTCCCGGGTTACATCTATCTGATCACATTATTTGATGTCTTATCTCACATATCACCACCTTTGTCATGTTGGCTCTTTCTGTCCAACGGGAACATGTCCTGTTTGCTAGCTAATATCACGGTAAATGGAGAAAAGATGGAAGTTGTCAAGGGTGTTGTCTTGCTTGAATCTACATTCAGTGATCACGGAGGCAGCCGTCCAGAAGTCAGACAACACATCGCGTTGGGCAAATCTGTTGCACAAGACCTCTTGAAAGTGTTGAGAGGCATTGCGATGCTACTTTGAGGACTAAGATGTGCCTGACACTCACCGTGGTATTTTCAATCGCCTCCTATGCACGAGAAAGTTAGACGGCGATTAAGGAAGACCCAAGAAGAATGGATGTATTCGAATGACGGAGCTGGAGAAGAATGTTGAAAGTACCAGGGGCTGCTCGCAGAGCAAACCAATCTGTCTTGGAAGAAGTGCAGCCAGAACGCTCCTTAGAGGCAAAGAGGGCGAGCCTTGGTCGCATCTACTTTGAACGTGTTCTCGGGAGATACGGGTCCTTGGAGAAGGACCTCCTGCTTGGTCAATAGTGGGACAGGGAAAGGGAGGCAGACCTTCGACACTGTAGCTACATCACGAGAACAACCGTGAGCGTGGACGGGACCAGCAGCGTTTCATTCGGTGGTACCGAAGGTTGCTGTGAATCGGAGGAACCTAACAACATCAGCAACAGCCTCCTGCCTCTTCTGAACGAACGTCAAAGGGGACTTGCCCATGGGAATCATGTCCCTGAGTAGACTAAGCCTTCCATAGCCAGCCATTCTTCTGTTGACAACAATAAACACCTCCCATTCTGGGCGAAGGAGGAGGGCCTCTGTGCTCCTCCCCCGGGGCTAACCTCTTAAGGAGTGTGGAGCATCTTGCCGCCAGCAGGACCCTGCTGATCATAGCGACCCCTGTGGGTTACCGAGACTGTAACTATTGGCGGGAGTAGACAGCCCTGGCTTTCTCCTGCAGAGCTGCTTTGTGGTTTCGATCCACCGACCACGCAGATCACAGCCTGACACGTAGCCACTACCCCACCAGGGCTCCCACTGGGAGCCTAGGCTGAGTGAAAGGAGAGAGTGGAGTCTGGGTGGGAAGGAATGACGGTCATTCTGCAGGGGCCCATGGGACACCAGCGAGATGAAGGTCAGCCCCGAGCCTCACCTTGCATCCAAGGCAGCTCCAAGAGGAGGGCCAGGTTTAGGTGGGAAAATTCGAGGCCACTTGTATCACCCTCCCTGAAAGTCCCACCAGAGCCTTTCAGTCAGGAGCGCTAGATCGCAAAGTCAGCTGCTCCGTCAGGATTATCCACCCGTCTCTAATCAATGACCCGGGAAAAGGCTGTCCCAGCCCTCCCTCCCCGTGCCTGCCACTCACCCTCGATGTCGTACATCTTCTTCTGCAGCTCCGTGAATAGGCCTTTAAGCTTCTCAAAGGTGTCCAGAATCTTGACAAACTCCTCCGTGGGCTGGGAGGCAAATTTGTGGAGCGCTTCTTGATTTTCCTGTGTCTTAAAGTGCTTCCCGATCTGTGTGGGAGCAGAGAGCGGCGTCTTCAGAATCGCAGGCCCCAATGGGTTTCTGTGATTCCCCCGGCTTCCCAGCTCGCACCCCAGGCAGTCAGGGGAAGGGGCTTCCAGAAGAGGGGAGGGATGGAGATGAGACCTAAGAAGGAGCAGGGGCCTTGGGGATCCGTACCCCGATGATGTAGCGGACAATGTCTTTGGCCGCGTCAATGTTGCCGTTGTCAGTAGCTTCCCCGTCGGTGATGATGATCAGGACTTTGGTGGCGTCTGGCCGGGCCCCCCGCTCTTTCCGGAACACCTCTTTTCTGTGTCCAAGAAGGAAGATGAGAGGCTCCTCAGAAACCTGGACCTAAGGTCCCTTCCTCCCCGCTCCGCCTTTCTCCCATCTCTCTTCCATCCCTACCCCACAGCGCACTCCATCAGGCCACGGTGGTCCCTCACTGCACCATAGCTCTCGCTGTATTTGCCCCTCGGATACTACAAACCTGTGCTGTTCTCCAAACCCTCCACTCCACCTTTGCAGCTACGCATCTCTAGCCCAACCCCCCCCAACCCCCCCCCAAAACTCATGGCCATCGGGTCAGTTCTGACTCACAGTGACCCTACAGGGCAGGGTAGAACTGTGCCTGCGGGCAGAGAGATGTCCCTTTCATGGGAAGAGAAAGCTTTGTCTTGCTCCTCTGGAGCTGTCACGCTTCTGCTCAAAACCTCCAAGAGGTGCATCGTGGTCAGAGGAGAAGCGAGACCCTCCAAGTCCCTGCTGCTCCTGGCTCCCAGTCTCTCTCGTCTCATTTCCTAGCACCGTCCCCTCACTAAGGAGCCCTGGTGGTCCAGCGTTGCTGGGTCGGCCACTAAGCTTTCTGCTCCCGTAGAGAGTAGCGAGACTGTCCCTGTGGGGTGGCCATGAGGTGAAATGGACCGGATGGGAGTGAGAGTTTTGTTTTTCCCTCTCCACTACTTCTCTCTAGCTCAGCGGTTCTCAACCTGTGGGGTCGCGACCCTTGGGGGTCACATTAACATAACGACAGTGATGAAGTAGTAAGGAAAATAATCTCATGGTTGGGGGTCACCATGGCATGAGGAGCTGTGTCTGAGGGTCCACTGGTCTAGCCACTGGCCTCCTGGCTCTTCTTGAAAGGTCCTAAGCCTGCTCTCCCCTCGGGCTCTTTGCAAGTCCCTTTGCCTGGAATGGCCAGCCTGTCACGCCCGTCTAGTTATTGACCCTGTTGGTTGTATTTCCATCACGGCGAGTTTTATTGGTTTGAAGATGAATATACCAGCAGGGAGCGAATGGCGCCCACAAGATCCGTAACTAGACACGCGGGACGACAGACGGGAATGCGACATCCAATGAGAAGAATAGAGGTTATGTTGGTGCCAAGGTTGGTTGGCCAAGCTCACTGCCATCGATGTGATTCGGACTCACAGTGACCCTCTTTGGCAAGGTGGGTTTCCAAGATCGTAAACCTTTCTAGGAGTAGAAAGCCTCATCTTTCTCCCAGGGAGCCGCTGTGGGTTTCAAACTGCTAACCTCACAGATATCAGCCCAACTCGTAACCACTTAACCACCGGGGCACTTGGTCAACCAGGGATTGAATCGACCTAGAGGTGCCTTCGCAGAAAGGCCTGGGGGATCAGCTTCCCAAAAAAACCAGCCTGGAAAACTCTATGGAGGAACATTCTACCTGAACACATGTGGAGTCCAAATCAACTCACTGGAAACTTTTAAAAAATATTTAAAAATATATAATACATATAGAAATTTCCAGGGCTTAGAGCACAGGTCAGCAAACACCCCCCCCCTACCCCCCCACCCCCGCCAAATCTCTCTCACCATGTGTCTTTATATCAGCGGTTCTCAAACTGTGGGTCAGACCCCTTTGGGCTCCGAATGACCCTTTCACAGGGGTTGCCTAAGACCATGGGAAACATCTTTCCAATGGTCCTAGGAACCGAGACACCGGTCCTCTGTCCCTCTCCAGGCGGGTCCGCCCACGTGCAGATCTGCTGATCTGGTGAGCAAGAAGCTATCTCAACCTTCGCCCCGACCGTTGGCTTTTTACGCATACTGTCGCAAAATGTAGCAATGTCGTTTACTGTTGTTATGTTAAGACTGTTATCCATGCTACACCATGCTTCGAGACAAGATTTCATTGATTTGTCATTTTAGAAATAAATAGTTCACAATATAGAATTACATATTGCTTTTCTGATTCATCACTGTGCTTTCAAGAGGTTCAATGTGTAACAATGAAAATCCATCCTGCCTATCAGATATTGACCTGACGATGCATCACAGTAGCAAAATGACAGTGAGGAAGTAGCCATGCAAATCATTTGATGGTTGGGGGTCACCACCACATGAGGCACTGTATGAAAGGGTGGCGGCGTGAGGAAGGTTGAGAACCACTGCTTTACATGATCCCTGACCTGCTGATCCACGAAGGCTTCCCATCTTTTTAAAGGTCTACCAGACAAAGAAGTGAATTTAGCCTTGTGTCTCTGGCTTACACAAATGGACCTGGGAATTTCCCAACCACCCATGGGTCTTTCTTCGCATAGAGCAGTCAGGCAACACTGAAATGTGTGCAAAGGCCGTAGAGCCAGGGACCGCAGCCGGAGAACTTCAGGTACCGGGTGTGGGGGCCTGATGCCTCAGCCATGCGTGTACCCGAGCCTGGCTCATCTCTGAGAACCTGCAGCTCTGTCCTGAAAACTCTTCCCAGAATACATCTGTGCAGCCCTTCGAGCACATCTGTGGGACACAGAGAGGTTTCTCCCAAGTGTCTCCCCCAAATATATGCCAAACGTAACTACGTACAACTAATGGTGAATGATGGTCAAGCTCTCTCCTTGAAGTTATCAGCCATCCAGAGCAAGCAGACCCTATTGTCTGTCCCGCCTGAGCTGGGGCCCACTCCCGACTGTTAGGGACTGGGATTGCTTCCCCTGGAAGCTTAGAATAAATCAAGTCTCAAGGGCAATCAAGGTTAGGCCGCCATCATGAATCTAGGCTCCGCCCATCTTGCCACATGTGTACCCTCAATTCCTCCTCTTCCTAGAGCCTGTACACCCCTAGATCATCCCCCTCCCATTACTGTATCACCTACAGTACAACCCCTTCCCGTGCTGTATGTCTTTACCTGTAATCAGGGGCCTTGCACACTCCCAAAGATACACAAGCCTTGGTTAGAAATAGATCGCTTTCCCCTGCCCTCTCAGCGTGGGCTGTGCGCGGACCTGGCTGTTGAGATCATGGCCGTCCAGGAGGTGAGCATCCTGCCATGAAATGTGTCTGACTCCTTGATGTGACTCTCTCTCCTCTCTCTCTCATTCTCTACGACTTGACTATCATCTTTACATATTATCGCTGTATAATTGCGCCTACCGAACCCGTGATTAGTGGTGGGGGGCTGGCTTCCCCCCACATCCTTTTATGACGATCTTTAAAAGGCTTATGGTGAGTATGCCTCTTCCCACCGCCCCGGGGCCCCCAAGCTCTGTGAGTCATTCCAGTGAATTATCGAAAACTACTGGGGGGTCATGAAAGCCAGCAGGGCCTGATATCTTCCTACTTGGCAACTGATTAACAGGGGTCCTCAAACTTTTTAAACAGGGGGCCAGTTCACTGTCCCTCAGACCCGCTGGAGGGCAGGACTATAGTTTAAAAAAAAAAACTATGAACAAATTCCTATGCACACTGCACATATCTTATTTTGAAGTAAAAAAACAAAAGGGGGGAAAACACCCGGCGGACCGGATAAATGTCCTCGGCAGGCCGCATGTGGCCCTCGGGCCGTAGTTTGAGGCCGCCTGGATTAGAAGGACAGAGTTCTAACTGGTCAGGAGTCAGCTGTGGGTGGCTGGTGAAGAGGCTATGCAGGCAGTTGCTTGGTAAAGACCTAATTCTGGGTCGTTAGGGATTAAGGTGGCACGTAATGGTTATGTGCTGGAGTGTGAACCTCAAAGCCCCAGTCGTAACCGAAAACCCTAGTCACTCTGAGTTCCCGTCTCGGCAACACACGGGGGCAGTTCCAATGTGTCCTTGGGAGCCACTATGGGTCAGAGTCCACGTGATGGTGGAGAGGGAGGGACTGAGAGAGAGAGAGAGAGAAATGCCACACGGGTGGCTGGTGTCCGAGGTGGAGATGTGGAAAATCAGGACCCGGATAATCTTCCCACTTTGTGCTAATCATTATTTGTGTGGGGTTTTCAGCATACCTAGCCAACAAAGCCTGAAATGTTTGCAATCTGACTCTTCACTAAAAGAGTCTGCCAGCCCCTGTTCTAGAACATTCTCTGGCATACAGTGGGTGGACAAGTTGTATTTATTCAATACATTTTCACGATTGTCTCTTTTGCTTCCACAAAGGACACCTTCTAAGACAGTGGTTCTCAACTTCCCTATGGCTGCCACCCTTTCATACAGTTCCTCATGTGGTGGTGACCCCCCAACCATAAAATGATTTTCATTGCTACTTCATCACTGTCATTTTGCTACTGTGATGAATCGGAAGACCCCCGTGAAAGGGTCGTTCGACCCCCGAAGGGGTCACGACCCACAGGTTGAGAACCGCTGCTCTAAGGTGTCTTCCCCCTTGATGGTGCCCCGGTTCTTCAAGAACAGCCCCTGCCCACAGAGGCTGACTCTAGACTCTGTGTGGGTGCTGAGTGACCCTATGCGATAGGGTCTACCAGCTCATGGTTGGGTGGGCCCATGGACACCTGAGGATCCACCAATCAGATTTTGTCAGCCTTGGAGGCTGAAATTCAGGTTGTCCCTCTGAATGGAGGAAGCAAGGCTGCCATTTATTGAACGGACTTGTTTGACCCTTTCCATCGCAAAGCTGTCTAGAGAGAGAGGAAGAAAGGGAGCCCCATGGGAAAGAGGGACATGCCCGGGAAGCAGCTTAAGGAAGTATAGCACAGGCATGCTTAATGTATGCAAATTCAAGGAGGCCTGCTTGCTGACAAAATGAACATGAGAAAAGTAAGTGAAATAATACACGAGAGCCTTCTTTTCAGTCACTCAGCTGGGCTATCGTCCCCTTCCACAACCAGTCACGCGTTCTCCTGGCTGGTCTCATATTTACAGGTAAATGTGTGTTTCTTTCGCCGAGGAAGGCCCTGGAACCCAATCAGGCAGACCCTCGATTGAAACGCAGCAAGCTGAGCCAAGGCCGGGGAGGAAACACCTTCTGAGTCAACTTTGGGAAATCAGGGTCTACACCTGTTTCCCACCTGGGCCTTGAATGTACTTTGAGGAACAAGCCAGGGGCTCCTTCACGTATCCCTTAGACTATCTGAGATGTTGGATCACCGGCTGCCTTCCCAAGCGGACCCCACCGGATGGAGCTGCCTCAACGCCTTGTTCCAGGGCCGCAGGAGGCCTGGCAACACTGGCTGTTTCGAGCTGCATTCTCCCACGGATTTCCCTTTGGGATCTAGTCCACAGAGTGGGAATTTCTGCTAGTTCTCGTCAAGAGTGCTGGCTCACATCAGTCCACTTGATTTCTCACAATGATCTGATGCGCTCCCCACCCCCAACCCACCCTCCAACCCAGAGGAGGCTAGAATGGGTAGCTTCACTCCCCCAACGGGGAACTCACGCGACGTAGTTGATTGCACCAAAGGTGTTGGTCAAATGGAGCATGTGCTTGACATTGGCTAGCAGGACCTCAGGATCCTTGAGCCGAACATAATCCAAGAAGTTAAATTCTGTTTTGTAGGTTGTGGAAAACTGAACAGCAGCAAACTAGAAAGGAAGGGAGAAGTGCAGTGGCGTGCCCCCTGGCTTTCCACCCATTCATTCCTATCACCACCTCCTGTCCAGGGCCCGGGGAACTCAGCTCCACGTTCCCGCCTCCAGTCAGAACTCTTCCTGGAGCGGCCGGAGGGATCTGCCAAAATGATTCCCTATGCATTTAACCCAGGAAACCGCACAAAGTCCCGCGAATCAGGAGGGTCGGATCTCCGGGTCTGCTTCAAGAACACCTGTGACACTGCCCAGGCCATCCTGGGTGTGCCAATCCGGAAAGCCACCAAACAGCTGAAGGACTTCATCGGCAGAAGCAGGGTGTGTCCTACCGACGTCACAACGGTGACGTTGGTAGGTGTGCCCACGCCAAGCAGTGGGGTAGGACGGAGGGTCGGTGGCCCCCAAAGAGGGCTGACTTTGTGCTGCACGTGCTTAAAGAAGCAGAGAGTCATGCTGAACTTGGGTTTAGATGTGGATTCCCTGGAGCACATCCAGGTGAACAAAGCCCCCAAGATGCGCTGCCAGACATGCAGAGCTCATGGTCAGATCAATCCGACCCTGACTGAGAAGGAACACATTGTTCCTAATCCAGGAGAGGAAGTTACCCAGAAGAAAAGATCTCCCCGAAAAAAACTGAAGAAGCAAAAAGGTATGGCTCAGGAGTAAATTTAGCTTAAAATAATAAAAGTTAAAGCAGGGGGGAAAAAAGAAAAGAAAATGAGGCGCTATAGACTTGAACATGGAAATGAACTGAACTACGTCTCCGCTTCATGACACAGCCCTGTTTACTGCTGCGTCCGCCTCTCTCATCAGTAGGGATTGTTCCAGGTGCCAGATGTTCGCTCAGGGACCCCGCTCACCTGGATACAGCTGGCCGAATCCAGGATGGTCGCCCAACCGAGACCAAGTCCGTCAGAATCCCTTCTTGGAAAATTTCGAAATTTACGGAGGGGGGAATGGGAATTGTAACCTAGGAACCGGGGAGCTTTCACCAAGCCGTGTGCCCCAAAGAAGCTGAGCGAGCTGGTCCTCAGACACCGGAGAAGGGGGTAGAAGCAGAGACGGGAGAAGGGAAAGTCCGGGCAGCTTTTTACGCCCGGACGCTTTCCTGCTCCTTCCGGAAGTCTGGCTATCACCCTGCGCTTGGGTTCCGGAGACACCTCTCACCCACGCTTCCATCGAGGCGAAGCTGGTTCAGGGGGGGCATCCGTATTTACTGTCCTCACCTGGTAGGAAGAGTTGCTGAGTTTTTTCATCACATCCTTCATGAAGTCCAGAATTTGCTCGAACTCATCTAGCTGCATGCTCCTTGAGCCGTCAAACAGAAAGACCAGGTCGACGTTGCCCTTGATACATTCTGCAGAGGCCCGACATAAAGGCACCTGGTGAAGGGTCTTCCGGGTTGGGACAGGGCCCACGCTGGCCTTCATGTCGGGGCAGCCGCCTGGAGGTGTGGTTACCCCCCCGGATCCCCAACCTCGTCCCTGGGGTGAGGGGGCTTACCCTGGTACCCAGGACGTCCTTGCAGCACAGGGTCCCCCACATTCTGACGGAAGAGGTAACACTGGCCACTGAGGTAGATGTTCTGGTCACATGTCTGAGAGAGCCCAGGGTCACAGGCCTGAAGAAAGCAGAGGGGAAAGGGTGGGGGCACCCTCCAGCTGCCTGTCTTTTGGACATCAATTAGCCCAGAGCAACCCCCCTTGCAGCACCACAGCCCCTCTTCCCTCAAGGCTGCCAAGTTCATTCTCATTCATAGCAACCCGGTGGGATAGAGTTGAACTGCCCAGTATGGTTCGAAGCTGTCGATGTCCGGAGAACAGACGGCCTAGATGTCCGGAGAACAGACGGCCTAATCGTTCTCCCAAAGAGCAGCAGAGAGGCTCCAAGCCCCAATCCCTCAGTGGCCACCCTACCCTTCCCCCACAGTGTGACCAGGGGCCCTTCTTTACATCTAACAGGTCGCTTTTGCCTCCTTGGTGTCTTATATCTGAGTTAAGTGTCCAGCTGTGAACCACCAGGCCAGTGGTTCGAATCCACGCAGCTGGTTCTCAATGCACACTGAGGGCACGGGACTCTCGCTGCTGCCTTGAAGCTCCCCGGGGCTCTTTGCCCCATTTCCTTCTTCTTACCCACCCAGTGTTAAGCTCCCCAGGCCCTGATGGCGCCCTACACAGCATCTTACCAAAAGGTTTCCGCTCGTGGGGTCCACAGACAAGGTCATTCCCAAGTACTTGGAAGTAGAGTTGGAACCTGTAGGCATCAGGAGATTGGTCTGGAAGGACTTGGGCAACTCAGGCATTGGGGCCACCCTGATTCCCCCGAGACTTCACTCCTCCCTCACCAGGGACTTACCGCCCAGGCTGACTGGTAGGCAGTGCCCAGTGTCCGACTGACATCGATAGAGGCTTCCCAGGCTGCTCCCCTCACCTGGCGCTCCTACAAGAACCCTGTGAGAAATCTCACCTGTGAGATGAAATGCCCAGGTCTTCACCCACCCACTCCCGCCTACAGCAGGGGTTCAGGTCCCCCCAAAGTTAT